CCCCCCCCCCCCCCAGTTGGATCTGGATCAGAGGGTAGGGTAGGCACTGGCAGAAGAATCGGGAGGATGAGGCCTCTGCTAGGGGCTTGCTCGAGACTAGAGGCTTGGAAAGGGTCTTCAGGAAGAGACCCGGGGATATTGCCCTGGGCTCCAGTTGGAGCGACGCATGTCAGACAGCTAGGCAAACAGAAACACACTCAAACACTGATTTCTTACAGGGAGTGCTGGTCAAGTAACATTAGGAAATCAGTTTGTTTTTTTTTTATTTTCATTCATTTATTTTATTTTTTTTTTTTTAATGTTTATTTTTGAGGAAGAGAGAGACAGAGCGTGAGCGGGGGGAGGAGCAGAGAGAGGGAGACCCAGAATCCGAAGCAGGCTCCAGGCTCCGAGCTGTCAGCACAGAGCCTAACGCGGGGCTCGAACTCACGGACTGTGAGATCATGACCTGAGCCAAATTGGACGCCTAACCATCTGAGCCACTCAGGAGCCCCTTATGAGAGAGAGAGAGAGAGAGAGAGAGGTAGCACGCTCCAGCGAACGAGTGGGGGAGGGACAGAGAGAGAGGGAGACAGAGGATCTGAAGCAGGCTCTATGCTGACCGCAGGGAGCCTGACGCGGGGCTCGAACTCACAAATCGGGAGATCATGACCCGAGCTGAAACCAAGAGTCGGACGCTCCACCGCCTGAACCACCCAGGCGCCCTAGGAACTCAGCTTTTGTGTGTGTTGAAACATTTGTGTTTCTAGGGGGCGTATTTTGGGAATGGCAGCTGATGTGTCTGTGGGTCAAACGTTCTCTGAGTCCCCCCCCCTCCCCGATACTGGATTCAAACTCCGGACGGGCCCCAAGACAGGAGGGAAAGAACAAAGCCAGGCCGGGCCTGTGGCCCAGGCTGACAGAGGCGGGGTCGAGGTCACGGCTGTGGAGCCACCCACCTAGCGGGAGGCAGGAACTGTTACAAGGCGGTGTGCCCCGAGACCCAGACATGTGAACCCCAGGTCTGAGAACGGAGCCAGCAGCCCGCAGGGCCCACGTCTACAGAGACGGGCTCTGTGCTCTGAGATGGCATCGTAACCAAAACAGAAACTCACCCACCGCAACCCACACTCTCAGACTCACCATCACCCAGACGCACCCCCCAAGAGAACAGGGCCGCACAACGAACAGAGCCACCGAGATGCCATGTGTACCTGGAGGAAAAAACAAAAAAACATTCTAGGAAACACCCTCCCAGCTCGACACTCTACACAACACGCCTGTGCAAACACGCAACACCAGGCATAGTGGGGAGGAGGAGAGGCCCCCCCCCCCCAGAAACAGGACTGCAGACAAAGGCACAGAGGCGTGAGGACAGGCACACCCACACCTAGACACAGGCAGACAGGCGCCACGGCCAGAAACAAAAACAGATCCCCTTACTAAGACGTAATCTTTTTTTTTTTATTTTTTTTTTTAACATTTATTTATTTTTGAGACGGAGAGAGACAGAGCATGAACGAGGGAGGGTCAGAGAGAGGGAGACAAAGAATCTGAAACAGGCTCCAGGCTCTCAGCTGTCAGCACAGAGCCCGACACGGGGCTCGAACCCACAAACCGTGAGATCATGACCTGAGCCGAAGTTGGCCACTTTAACCGACTGAGCCACCCAGGCACCCCGAGACATAATCTTACAACACACACACACACACACACACACACACACACACACACACACACCTAGAGAAACAAACGGAAACAGACCCCTCTCAGGTATCCCTCGCCCTGGAGATACGACACGCGTGGTCAGGGTCACAGTCACGGTCACGGCCAACGCACCCATAGAGACAGGCGGCCTGCCCTCAGCAAGGCTGACACTCACACGCACAAACGCACACCCCCGCAGGGAGACCCGATCGCACAGACGTGCCGGCAGTGGGGAGAGCCCTGCAGACGGCGACAGTTTCCACACGCGGAAACCATCCCTCGCACAGATGCTACGGGAGAAACTCAAAGACGTTCTCAGAGGTGCACGCCCTCAGACAGTCCCCCGAAACCCCGTTGCTTTCAACACATCTTCATCTGACAAATATTTGTCGAGGGCTCCTCTTTGCCAAGCCGTCTCCTTGATGTCGGGAACACGGTGGCGAACAGAGAGGCTAGTCCCTGCCGTCGAAGGCACACCCCGGGGAGGGAGGGTCAGCCCCACCTGCCATCCAGCAAGATGCCCAACTGGAAATACATCCCCTGAACCCGTGCCCCAGGTACACACCCTCTTGGGTGTCCGCCCTCAGTCAGTAGGCACCCCCAAGGGGTAGAGCCCCGCAAAGCACAGGTGCAGTCTTGCCTGAGGGTCATCCAAGGGATCCACAACCACGAAAACACGGACACCCCCTAAGACTCCTGAAACACACAGAAACGGTCACAGACACACGGTGTGGGGTTCCCGTTAGTGCAGCCGTGGGCCCACAGGCCGTGCCACAGGCTAGACCTCGCCTCAGGGCAACTGGAGAACTTTTGACCCACCGACTTCACGAACACGCCCGCCGTCTCCAAAATACCGCCTCCAGGAGCACAGATAAACATTCCAGCATGGGCTAAAGCAGGTTCCCAGACATTAACTGATAAGCGTCCGCAGCAAGAAAACTGTTCCCTGCCTCTCACCCCGTGCGCAGGTACAGACACACATTCCAGAAGAACCGGTTCACAAAATAACCGCTTGACCCTCACACTGCGGACACACTTTTTCTGGTCTGCTTTTTCTTATTCTTATTACTGTTCCTTGCGAGTCACTAAAGTGAGGTGACAGCCCTCTGGGTCGTGGCTCTATTTGAAAATGCCACTCTGAAAAGAAACACCTGGAGAAGCAGGTGCCCTCAGGAGCGTGGGTCCCAGCCTCTCCTGTGTGCAGGGTGTGGGGAGGAGGGGCTCAGGTTTGAGTGGGTCCCCCTCCCCCTGGTTTCTCCCCATCAGGCCTGGCATGCAGGGGTGGGGCAAGGGGTGTGCCATGTCTCTCCCTGATGTGGGGCCCAGGGTCCCCTCCCTCATCTCTCCCGCCCCCACCCTTAGCACTCCCTGGCTTCCTTCTCCACCTCCCTCAGACCCCTCCCCTCCCAGCTGCTGGGCCACTGATGGGGACAGGGGGCTTCATGGCTCCATTTTCCACACATGGCCAGACAGGAGGCAGGCCATGTCGCCTGGACCAGGTGCCCCACAGCCACTTCCAAGGGGAGGGAACTATCAGGAGAACCCTCACCCTTCTCGTCCCCTTCTGTCCAGCCCAGAGAGCTCTGGAATCTGTGACAGTCTCGAACCCAAATCCCGCTCTGCCTCTTGATGGCTGGATCCACCCAAGGTTCTGTGACTCGAACATCAGAGCCTTCGTGAGGACCCCACGGCCTGTCCCAAGCGGGTCACAAACTCGGACACCTACGGGGTCCTCCCAAGTGACTGGCTGGCCAGATGCGGAACCCTGTTCCGATACGAGTAGCCAGCCTTCACTCAGCCACTGCCCATCACCAGGGGCAGATGAGAGATTGGTGTCACCATCAGTTTGATTTTCTTTTTCCCTAAAAGAAATCGGGATTTGTGGTGAGATAGCCTGGTTTTGAAATGTTAGCGAGTTTAATTTTTTTTTTTCAGTTTATTTATTTATTTATTTTGAGAGGGTGGGGGTTGCTGAAGGGGCAGAGAGGCAGAGACAGAACCCCAAGCCCCGACGTGGGGCTCGAACCCACGAACTGTGAGATCACGACCTGGGCGAAATCAAGAGTCGGAAACTCAACCGGCTGAGCCACCCAGGCGCCCCCAGCAAGTGTTAAGTTTTGAAAAACCCTGTGCAGGTATAAGGAACCACATCTGGCCAACGCCCACTCTGTCCAAGGTGCCCGCCGCTTAGCGCGGTCTCCCTTCCCTCCGCCTCCCCCACCTTCTGCCCACACCCCGAATCACATCCTGGATTTTCCCATCACTGTCCCTGTCGTGTCCTGTGCTCCGCCCCCCAGATGTGTCCTCTTGACCTCTTGTCTCCCTTTCTGTCTCTCGCCCCTCCTTCTCTCTCCTCAGACACACCCCGGGCCTCGCCCCGAGACGTGGGTCCAGTGGTGTGGGGGGCCGTGGGGGGGACACTGCTGGTGCTGCTGCTTCTGTCTGGGGGGTCCTTGGCCTTCATCTTGCTGAGGGTGAGGAGGAGGAGGAAGAGCCCTGGAGGAGGAGGAGGAGGAGGAGGAGGAGGCGACAATGGAGGAGGATCCTACGATCCAAAAACTCAGGTGTTTGGGAACGGGGGCCCTGTCTTCTGGACACCAGCCGCCCCTGGTCCCCTGAAGCCAGATGGCAAGGATGAGGAGGACGAGGAGGAAGAGGAGGAGAAGGCAGAGGAAGGTCTCATGTTGCCTCCACCCAAGTCTCTCGAGGACGACATGGAGTCCCAGCTGGACGGCTCCCTCATTTCCCGGCGGGCAATTTACGTGTGACCCTGAGACAGACAGAGACAGAGACAGAGACAGCCGCCCCAGCCAAGGGTTCCAGACTGGTTGGACTCGTTTTTCTGGACGACACTGGAGCTCAAGTGCTCCCTCCCACTTCCCTGGGATTGGGAGGGAGCAGGAATCACACACTGGACTTCTGTCGCCAGGGCTGCGTGGGGAAGGAGAGGCCCCTGCGGAGCTCAGTAGTGGGGACCCAGAGAGGAACCCCCCTCCCCCACACCCCACCCCCAGAGACTTGTTTTTGGCTCTGGCCTGCCCCACCCTGCCCCGCGACACTCAGGAGTTAATAAACGCCTTGGAGGAAAACAGCGGGGGTGTCTTGTAATACATCAGACCCCCTCCCTGGGGGGTGGGACAGGGACTGCTAGGTCCCGGGGGCGGGATGGGGGAGGGGCTGTGTTCTGACTCTTTGGATCCATCAATGACGCACCGGATGCCTGCGACCCCTGAGGCCAGTATAACCGGGGGAGCCGGTTGCTGGGTTCTGGGCTTAGAGGCTGGGAAGGTTGGACTTGTGTTGGGGGGGGGGGGGGGCGGTCCCAGGACTTGCAGGTGCCTTTCGGGTGGATTAGCCAGACTGGTGAGAACCCTGTGCTCCCCAGAACAGGACTGGGAACCTGGACTCCTTGGCGGAGGGGGGGGGGGGCGGGAGGGGCGCGAAGCTCAAACTTGACCTTCTTGAGGTTGTTGAGGATCTTGGGAGGGAGCACTGCCCGCTGTGTTCTCTGGGCCCTGAGGATCCTGGGCAGGTGCTGGGGGACTAAGGAACCAGGAAAACCCCACCTTGACACCGATGACACCCGGGCCTTTTTCAGCTTCCTTCCTCTTTCCTTGCCCTGGGCCCAAGGGGCTTTTCGGTGATTCAGGGGAGGGTCTGCAGGTCTGTATCCCTCTTTCCCCTCCCCCCACCCCCGGCTAGAAAAGCCCCCAAACCCAGGCTGGGGAATGGGGGGGGGGGAGGGGGGGACAGGGTCCTGTCCCAGTCACCTCTGCTCTCCCAGTGGCCCCTGGCCATCCCTCTGAGACACAGGTAGAGCTGTGTGGGCCCCCGCAGCCGTCGTGGGGGAGGGTGCAGTAAGCCTGTGCCAGGAACAACCGGCACTGAGCCGCTAAGTGGGGCTCGGGGAGTTCATTTCCCACCAGTATTGACTTCCACTTATTCTGCCGGGGACACAGAGGTGACTCAGACAGCCCCCTCCCCCTGGGCGTGCAGTCAAGAAAAAAAAAAAAAAAAAAACCCAGGAATCCCAGCACTCTTAGGATGGCTATATTTGGCTTGAGCGAGCGGCGATCACTGTTGTCCCCCCCGACCCCCCGGCCCTGAAGCCCTCCGGAGGATGCCAGGCTGGGGTGCAGGGAGTGGTGGAAACCGGGGACCCAGCCATTATTCCTCCGGGCAACTTGATCTCCGCATCTGTGCAATGGGGTTCACAGAGGGTGGGGCTCTTGGCGTGTGCGTGGTTTCCTCTGGTTGTTTAAGGTCCCGTCACCCACTCTGGTCCCCGCCCCCTCCTCCCCAACATGGGAGGCTAGCGCCAGCAGGCAGGGGCGGGAGTTTTGCCAACCTGGCACACGGGCCCCTCCTCCCACATCTGGCAAACGCCAGCTGTGTGCCAGAGCCTGCCCCTGGGAGCTCACAGTGCAGTGTGGAAATTGGCAAGTAAACAGGTGACATCAGGGGGTGAGAAGTAGTGCTACAATCGAGAAGCCCAGGGGGCCACAGCTCCTCTCAATTCCTTTTCCTGTCTACATCCTCGGCACCCCCCCCCCCCCCCCGCCGATGACTCGATGACTCCGTTCCCTGTAATGAGTGAAGGGTTCCCATCCCATCCCGATTCCAGAATCCCCTAGGTTCCGCGCCTCTTAGCTCTGCCCCATCACCTCCCTTCTCTCATCTCCCCCGTCTCCCCCTCTTTTCTGGCCGCACAGTCTCCTTGCTGTTCCTTAAAAGGAACACGAGGCTTCCTCAGGGCTTTTGCACTGGCTGTTTCCTCTGCCTGCAATGCTATCATTTCCTCACGGTTCACCCCCTGAGGCTCCTTCAGGTCTTTGCTCAAATGTCACCTCCTATTAAGTCTCTCTCTGGCGACCCCTGCCCCCCCCCCCCGTCACTTTCTTGTCACCTTCCCCTATGTTTCACCCCGTATCACTCACTGCCGCTTGGCAGATTAGCTATTGTATTTGTTTCTGCGCTGTTGGTCTCTCTGCCCAGCTAGAACGTGTGTCCCACGGGCGCAGGGACTTCTGTATGTTTTGTTCACCACTGCGACCCAACAAATGCTCAGTGAGGACTAGGCAAAGGAACGAACGCCCTCTGCCTTTGGGAGAAGGGGTGGGCAGGTGGGCGATGGCTTAGGGAAGAGGGTGCCTGGGAGTAAGGAGCTGTGGCTTCCTCTCCTGGGGATCCCCTTACACTGTCCCTCTTCTTGCAGAGACCCCCAACACAGCAGGCGCAGGGGCCACGGGTGGCATCATTGGGGGCATCATCGCTGCCATCATCGCCACCGCTGTGGCCGCCACAGGTATCCTCATCTGCCGGCAGCAGCGGAAAGAGCAGAGGCTGCAGGGGGCAGAGGAGGATGATGAGTGAGTGACGGGCCCTGAGAAGTGGGTGGAGGAGGGGTCCCAGAATCGGGGAGCCCAAGGGGGTGGGAGGGGAAACATCTGTGAGGGCCGTGGGAAACAGAGCGACCCAAACTGACTGTGAGTTAAATGGGAGGGAGGCCTTATTTCTGTCTCCCACAAAGCACGGGTATGACAGCTATGCTCCGTGAAGCCGTCAGAGCCCAGGCTCCTGCTACCTTATTACTCAGCCTTCCCTTCCCTCCCGTTCCATGATAGCTCCCCGCTCTATCACCGTCTACATACTGGACAACCAGATATGGCCATCCTGGCCTCAAAACAGGCATTCCTGCCAGGGGGAAAGATAAACAGAAGGCAGTGAGCTGCCCTATAAGGGAACCCGTCACTCCCCCTCACTTCCCATTGGCCAGAATCTAGTCACATGGTGCACCGGCCGCAAAGGACGCTGGGAAATGTAGTCTTTATTCTGGGTGATCATATGTCCAGCTAAAATCTCTCTTTCTCTCTTTTTTATGTTTATTTCTTTATTTTGAGAGAGAGAGAGAGAGAGAGAGAGAGAGAGCAGGAGAGGGGCAGAGAGAGAGGGAGACAGAGAATCCCAAGCAGGCTCTGCACCATCAGTGCAGAGCCCAATGTAGGGCCTGAACTCACAACCCGTGAGATCATGATCTGAGCTGAAATTAAGAGTCCGATGCTGTTCAATATTCTCTGTCCAAATTTTAGATTCTCGGAATAAATGCCTTTTACAGATGCAAAAAGCAAATAAACAAACAAAGGAGTCCGATGCTTAACCAACTGAGCCACCCAGGCACCCCCAACTAAAATCTCTTAATATGAGAAAGAAGGAGCCTGGATATGGGGGCCAGGAGGGAACCAGCTACATGTCTCTGTGTAGAACATTTGTTATGTGCCAGGCTTGGCGAGATGCATTTTTACATGTGTGACCTTGATGAAGCCTCACATCCATTCGTTGACTCAACAAGCGTTCAGAAAGTATCCACTAGGGCCAGGCCCTGGAGGTTAGTGATGCACTGATGAGACAAACATTTTTAAAGTGTTCACACACATAAATACATCATGGAAACATAAATTCTCACAGGGAGCCAATGGTACCCATTTTATCAGAAAGGAAACAGGTTCAGAGGGGGCTGAGATCACTTGCTGAAATTCGCCCAGCAAGTAAGCATTTGGGGCTCAAAATGGTTCTGAAGTAACACTACCCAGTGTGTGTGTGTGTGTGTGTGTGTGTGTGTGTGTGTGGGCGCGCGCGCGGCAGGCGTGAAACACTTGTTAACAATGTAGATTCCCCAGCTTATACCAAACCTACTACATCAGAACTTTTACAGGAAGGGCTCGGAATCTGTATTTATAACAAGCTCCCCGAGTTATTCTGATGCACAAGAAAGTTTCTGAACCACTGCCTTAATCATCTAGTCAGTTCAAACCAACAACTTGCCATCGATCTCCTCTGTCCAACCCAGTGCTGAGACCCAGTGGTGCTTGAGATGGCCCTGCCCTCCTGGGGCTCACAGTCTGGAGGAAACAGTCCCATCCCTAGCGAGTGGCAGTGCAGCATGGCCGGCGATGGGCTAGAGAAGCTGAGAGAGCTGTGAGAGGCCAGAGGGGGCCCCTGACCCAGCGTGGAGGGTCAGGGAGGGCTTCCTGGGGGAGACAACATCCGAGGTGGGGATCGTGCCTTCAATAGGCACTCATTATGCATGCAGGATGCTCTGGTCTGTGGGTATGTATGATGAGGGAAATGTATCGTAGGTTGGAGGCCGGGAAAGCATTTCGTTTATTCATTCATTCTATTAACAAATACTTCCTGACTTCCTCATGGCGAGTTCTGAGAACACTGTTGAAGACACAGATTTCATTTTTTCCTTCACATTGCTTCACAGTGGGATACGGTTATTGGACGATATCAGAAATAATATTTCAAACACAAACTCAGTAAATGCTCTGAGAGGGAAGAAAAGCTAGATGTAACCATATGTCCAGAATTCCTGACCCTCCTGGAGAATCAGGGAGGCTTCCTGGAAGAAGAGAAATTGATGAGGATGATTAGGCATTAGCTGGGTAAGGGGGCACGCGGGCGGTGGAAAGGGAGACCAGGCAGAGGGGAGAGCGGGTGCGGTGACCTGGGATAGGAGGGCTCTTCCCGTCTGAGCCTCCACCTTGACCTACCTCCTACCCCACAGTCTGGAGGGGCCTCCCTCGTACAAGCCACCAACCCCCAAGGCGAAGCTCGAGAAGCCAGAGATGGTGAGCACTTCCCCCGGTACCCGGCTGCGCCCACACCCACACCCACCTTTCCCCACTGAGGCGGGGGCTAGGAGGGGGAGCTGGTGGGGAGAGGCCAGCCTTGGGGGGGTTGTCCTGACCCACCCCTCTTCCTTCCCTGCAGCCCTCCCAGCTCTTCACTCTTGGGGCCTCGGAGCACAGCCCGCTCAAGACTCCCTACTTTGATGCTGGCGTCTCATGTGCTGAGCAGGTAGGAGCTCAGGGCAGGTCAGGGGTGGGTTTAGGGCCGGGGTCAGCTCCTGACATTAAAGGTCACAATTCAAGGTCAGGGCCGTGTCTCTGGTCAGAGCTTAGAGAATCGAGATGTGTTTAGGATTCAGTGGGGGAGATCTTGGTTGAAAAAACGCAAGAACATGAGGTTAGAGCTCAAGGTCACTCAGTCAGTGAAAGCGGTCTGCTGGATGTCAGGGGTCCTATCAAAGTTGAGACAAACCGAGGTTCAAGGAGCTGTTTCGGCCTTAAGGTTAAGTAGTTGAGGATAAGACTGAAGTCAAAGGTTCGTGGAGAAAGACTTGTGGTCAGGGATCAAAAGACAAAGGAGAGGCCCAGGAGCGATGGGGTCTGGGCTTTGAGTTCTGGATAAGCCGTATGATTGCCCCAGAGCAATTTCAGCCCAGGCCGCAAGGGGTTAGGTCGGGTCTGGTTGGCATAAGGAGATGGTCGAGATTTGGGGGTCAAGGGGCGGATTGGGATTCTGTGTGCTCAGGAGATGACCTTGGGCTTTCTCCCTCCCTGCCCCCAGGATATGCCTCGATATCATGAGCTGCCCACCTTGGAAGAGAGGTCAGGGCCCCTGCTCCTGGGGGCTACAGGCCTGGGGTCCCCCATCCTGGTGCCTCCAGGGCCACCTGCTGTGGAGAGGGTTTCCCTGGACTTAGAGGAGGAGGAGGAGGAGGAGGAAGACTATTTGGACAAGATCAACCCCATCTATGATGCCCTGTCCTACTCTAGCCCCGCTGATTCCTACCGGAGCAAAGGCTTTGTCATGTCCCGAGCCATGTATGTGTGAGCTGCCGTGGCCCTGGCCTCTTGCCTCTCACTTTTTGATCCCTCAACTTTCTGCCAGGCCAGGCCACTGTCAGTTAACACACAAAAATGCATCTCACCTGTGACTTCTACTTCGGTGGCTCCACGATGACCTCTAATCCATGATCTCTGACCCAGAGAAACCAGTCATGACAACAGAAACCTGGCGACCTTATCTCAGGTGGGGGTGGGGAAGCACGTTCCTGCACAGCCTCTGACCCGAGGACTCCTAAGACTGTGACTTTAGATCATACCTCTCACGTCCCGTCATCTCCAGACTCCCTCAAAACCCCAAAGAAGAACCCCAGACCTCTGATGTGTCCTCAGGAAGTAAACTCCCAATAGCTCTGCTGGGGTAGTTGGTGGGGGCACCCTGCTGCTCAGACCTGAGCCCTCCAGGCAGCAGAGCCCCACTCTCCCCCTCCCCACCCTGTCTGTTCCCCAAAGGCAAGAGGGAGGGGATTCCCCAGCCCAAAGCGGAACTTCCTCATCTCCCTCCTGCAGGCAGGAGTCTCAGGGGTCCAGACCCTTCCCTGAGCCCCCACTACCCCAATTCCTGTCTAGAGGAAATTAAGCCCCGGCCCGGGGTTAGGATGAGGTAAGCCTCATGCAGTGTGCCTTGCCAGTCCCAGCCTTAGGAGAAGAATTTGCTGTTACGCTGAAGACTACTGAGTCCTTTTACTCCTGCCCAGTGGGATGGAACCCAAACGTCTCCTGGCAGGGGGTGGGGGTTGGAGGGGGTGGGTGGGGACATAATACAGTTTTGTAATACAGCATTTCCTACAAAATCCGAGTTTATACTTTGACCGGGTGTCAACTTGTGTTTTCTGCGGGATGTGAAGGGGATGGGAGTGGGACATGATGGGAAATGAAGAGGCCGCCTAGAGCTCGAAGGAATCCGTAGGACAGACGTCAAGATGGGTTACAGGCAAAAAATAGAAGGGCCAAAGATATCTAAAAAAAAAAAAAAATTAAGTGCGCGGATAATGAGCAAAAACGCGTAAGCCAAAAACATAATGGGGGATAATGGAAGGAAAGGGGGAGGAGTCCAGGGAACGGTGGTTAATGACAGGGAAAGACAATCTATGGGTAATGGACAGGAATAAACGGAACAAAGATAGAAATGGCAGTAATTCAGTTTGAGGGACTCAGGTTTAAAGGATAAATGGCAAGTAAGAATAGGCCAAAGGCAAAATTACGAATAATGCATAGGAGCTCAGGGCATTATGGTTAATAGAACTGAATGAATGAGCCAGAGGCAGAGGAATAATAGAGAAAACAGGGCCGGCAGGCATGATGGGTAATGGACCCAAAACATCATGGCTAATTAAAGACGCGCTAGGATGATGGAAGTGAACAGGCAGAAACGAGCTATAGGTAGTTGAAGAAATGAGGCTGAAATGAATGGGACAGAGGCATGCTGGGTAATAGGACGGGAATGAATGGGCCAAAGATAGAAGCCGCAGTGGGGGCGGGGAACAGAAGGGATGATGGGTAACGAAAGGGGTGGGTCTACGGCAACGTCTCGCGTTAAACAGGTAAGGGGCGTTGTGGGTAAGAAGAAGCAGGACGGGGTTCACATAAACCGGTTAGAGTTCTCCCGAGGCACTGTGGGAAGGGTCAGCACTTCCGGTTTTCGGTCGCCGACTCTGGACCAAGGGGCTGCCCGTCCGCCGCGGTGCCTGGTGGGACGAGAGGCCTGACCTTGCTGCCTAGCAGCTTCTGCCGCGCAACCCACCTTTACCCGCGTCCCTCGACCCTGGCACGTTAGCCAATGACCGTACCAGGCCGGATACGTCACCAGGGTCGGCCTCCTGTACCCTCGGAGCCAATCAGAATGCTTCAAGGGCCAAAGCAGACCAATTACAATGGCAACTTCGCCGCGGGGCGGAGTCGAAAGAGGGACGCCCTCTGGAGAGGGGCGGAGGCGACGAGTCAGGGGGCGTTTCAAAGTGCGCAGCGCAGACCAATGACGGACGAACACCGGAACCCGCGGCGTTGCGAGCCAATAGATGTGAGCACTGCGAGCCAATGGCAAAGGCGGGGAGGTGTGCTTTGACCTGCCTGTGAGTGGGAACCAATAGAAAAGGACGTCTCAAAGAGGTGGGTGGGACTCCCAGCCATGACTCCAATTGCAGGGCCAGGCCTTGGGGCTAGTAGGCGGATCCCAGGGCATGCTGAACCAATGGGCTAGGCGGGGCGGGGCGACGGTGGCGGCGGCGGCGGCAGCGGGTTCGGTTGCGCGTGGCGCACGGGGTGGGAGCGGAGCCCAGGCCGGGTACAGGCGCTGCCGCCAGTGAGAACCGGGGCCCGGGGCACAGCGGGTTTGGCTGGGACTGGGCCTGGAGTGCGCGGGCCCTGACCTTCGCCCTCTGACCTTCCCCCTTGCAGGCGACCATGGGGAACGTCTTGGCCGCTAGCTCGCCTCCCGCAGGGCCGCCGCCGCCGCCCGCGCCCGCCCTCGTGGGACTGCCGCCGCCTCCGCCCTCTCCTCCGGGCTTCACGCTGCCGCCACTCGGGGGCGGTCTGGGCGCTGGGGCTGGTGCGGGTCGAGGTTCGGAAAGGACCCCCGGTGCTGCGGCCGGCAGCGCCGCAGGGACTGCGGACGATGGGGCCTGCGGCTGCCTGCCCAACCCGGGCACGTTCGAGGAGTGCCACCGGAAGTGCAAGGGTGAGGGGCGAGAGACCCAGCAGGGGTGTGAGGGCCCGGATCTCGGGGGAGTGGGGGAGGGAGAGCACTCTGAGGACCTTGGGAATTGGCACGGACCATTGGAAACTAACAGCGTTAGGAGTTGACGTTAGGATCGAGAGGTGGAACGTTGGACTTGGAGCACAGAACGAGGGGATCAAATGGTGGAACCTCAGGATGGAATGCCAGAGCAGTGGAGTAAAGCCTTAGGGATCTTAGGAGCCCCAGGGATCAGCCAAGCCAGCCTTCTTGTGTGATCGGGAAGGAAACTGAGGCCCAAGGTCACTGTGTCAGCAAGGGTCCGGTGGGGGGTGGAATTCAAGGCTTCTGGATCTTGGCTTGGAACAAGTATGGTAGCAAAGGCGGTGATGGCTTATTGAGCATTGTTTTGGCATTCGGGGTATGTCAACCCACGAACTGTTTGCGGTGTCTCCACGTGGTGAGCTTACAGATGACATAGGTGACAAGTTTGACATAGAGTGCTAAAGCGACTTGTCTTGAGTCAAATGGGCAGTAGGTGGTTGCTTTGGGATTTGGATGCAGGCAGAGGCTCTGGTCCTGGCCCCATCTACTAGCTTAGACGGTCTCTTTCCTGGTCGGGGTACTTTGTGCAGTGCTCTGCTTCTGGGTCCCTGGAGAAGGAAGTGCGGGGATGGTAGGGCAGGAAGGGATGAGACGTGTTTGCGTGGGGGTGTGCGTGTGTGGAGAGTGGAGAGTGACAGTGTTTGTCCTCTTCAGAGCTATTTCCCATTCAGATGGAAGGTGTCAAGCTCACAGTCAACAAAGGGTTGAGTAACCATTTCCAGGTGAGCCTTCCTGGTGCCCTTTCCCTCCAGCGGTCACCCCAACCATCTCCCTGCGCCGACACATACAGCCCCCTTACTCCCCCTGAAGGGCTAGGCTCCTTGGTACCTGAAAAGACTCTCAGAGACACAGTGCCAGGCTGACTGCTCATTGGGTCCAGTGGAAGTGTTTAGGGACCCAGAATCCAGAGGTACCCCTCCCCCCCCCCCCTTAACATCCAGGTAGGAGCAAAGTACCGGGTATGTAGCCGCATCTCCGGGGCTGAACCTCCCCGTCCTCATCCCCTGCCCAACCCTTAGCCACGTGTCTTTTCCTCCCTGGTGGGGAAGCCCGACTGGCAAGCGTCCCCATCCTAGCCTGGAAGGGAGCTTTGCTGGGGGCAGGTTGAAGCTGGGTTTATCGGCGATTGGCCCACAGACTCGGCTCCACAGCCCTCCCTCTTCTCCCAGGTGAACCACACGGTAGCCCTCAGCACAATCGGGGAGTCCAACTACCACTTCGGGGTCACGTACGTGGGGACAAAGCAGCTGAGTCCCACAGAGGTGAGGTTCCTCTTATCTGTAATGTATTGTGTCTTTCTTCTAACCAAGGCTCAGTGTCGCAGGAGGCGGGAGCCGTTGAGGGAGCGGAGGATGTTGGGAGGTAGGGATCGGCTTTCCGAGGTGCTTTAGAACATGGCCGGTCATTCCTTCATCCTGAAGCCCTGTCGTCTGCCCAGCCCTGTGCTGGGTCAGGGCCGGGGTCACCAAGCAGTGATGACCCAGAGTAGGGCAGGGCTGCACTGTAGAGCGTGCAGGGCTTTGAATGCCAAACAAGGCATGTGGGCTTTCTCTAGGGGGCAGTGGAGAGCCACGGAAAGATGTGAACAACGAAGGTGGTCAAATTTGTGCTTTTAGAAGTACCCTTCAGGGGCGCCTGGGTGGCTCAGTCGGTTAAGCGTCCGACTTCGGCTCAGGTCATGATCTCGCCATCTGGGAGTTCAAGCCCCGCGCCGGGCTCTGTGCTGACCGCTCAGAGCCCGGAGCCTGTTTCAGATTCTGTGTCTCCCTCTCTCTCTGACCCTCCCCCGTTCATGCTCTGTCTCTCTCTGTCTCAAAAATAAATAAACGTTAAAAAAAAAAAATTTTTTTTTTTAAAGTACCCTTCAGGCTGCCATGCAGAGGCTAAGCTAAGGGAATGGGGGCAAAACGGGGGGCCTAGAAGGAGGCTGGGCAGGACACAGCTGGAGCTAGGGGATTGAATCGGGTCTCTGCTAATATCGACTATTTCCATTCAATAAATTCACGTGTTTGACAGACCTTCCTCGTACCCCATTTTGTGCTCAGCCCTGTGCTGGGCAGTTTTGGAGACAGAGCGGTGACTGACACAGCCATGGGGTTCTCAGCATAGTCGAGAAAGAGAACAGACCTTTCGGACTGTCCCCAGACAGTCCAGGGTAGCCAGGACTGAAATGGGGGAGGGCAGCCTGACTCAGCCTAGGCGGTCAGGGAGGGCTTCCTGGGGGAGGGGACTTCAGTGTGGGTTTTTGTGATGCTAGGCTTCTCACCTAGGCTCATCATTCGTGTATTTCTGTGTTAGACCTCTGACCTCTAACCTTGACCTCTGTACCACAGGCATTCCCCGTGCTGGTGGGTGACATGGACAATAGCGGCAGTCTCAATGCTCAGGTCATTCACCAGCTGGGCCCTGGCCTCAGGTCCAAGATGGCCATTCAGGTAAGTGAGAGACCGGTCAGCTGCTCCCCCGGCCACCCCGAGCACCAGGCTGCCCTCTACACCGTGCCTTCCGCCTACAGACCCAGCAGTCCAAGTTCGTGAACTGGCAGGTGGATGGGGAGTACCGGGGTTCTGACTTCACGGCCGCCGTCACTCTGGGGAACCCGGACGTCCTGGTGGGTTCAGGTAAGAGACGCAGGGCTTGGAGGGTAGATCTCAGTCCCAGCTTTCCCGGCACGTCCAGTCCCTTGTCTGGACATCCTTTCCCACCGTCTGGAAATGGCCAGGGGCAGACGTGAGCTCGAAGCCTCCCGCAATCTAGCATTTGGCCGCAAGCGAGCAGGTTCAAACCCCAGTTCTGCCACTGACCTCGCTGCGGTTGTAGGCGAGTTCCGTCCCCTCTGTGGGCCTCCCCTTTCCTCATGTGCCCCACAGGCTGGTTAAGTTCGTTTAAGTTCACCCGTGTGAAAAAAACCTCAAGTGGCGTGGGACACGTAATGGGTCCCAGGGAAACGTGAGCTGCTCTGACTGCTTATGGGCTTGGATTGTTGGGCTGCATAGATAACGGGGAGGGTGAGTCCCCGTGCAGTTGTGGGGGCGGGGAGCCGGCCGTCTTGAGACCGAAGCGGCCGAGGAAAGTTCCCATTTGGGTTGGTGTGGGCAGGGACCGACCGACCTGTGTCTGTACGTCTGGTGTCTCCTTGGTTCCCCTTTTTTCTGGCTCTGCGTGGCTGATTTCTCACCGTTCGTAATGCGTGTTGGCTGGGCGTGTACCATGCACATTCCAGGCCCTGAGGAGAAGGGAGCAAAGGAGAGTTAAGTCTGCCCTCTGGGAGCTTCCATTCCGGAGGACGCAGATGCTGGCAAAGCATCGCGTAAAAGACAGGGTGTCCGTGTCAGGCGATAGGGGCTGGGAAAGACTAGGGCCTTCGAAAATGGGGTCCTCGGAGAAAGCCCCCTTCTCTAAGTGATACTTGAACAAAGACTAAGGGCGGGAGGGGAGGTACCCGGCAGAGAGGGGTGGAGGGAAGGAGGTCTTGAGCCTGAGGGGGCAACAGGCACAAAGGCCCTGGGGCCGGAGGCTTTATAACGGGTGGGGTAGGAGGGAGAGCTAGAAGCCCGAGGGCTGAGGAGCCAAATCGCAGGAGGCTCTGTAGGACTTGAGCCTTCACTCTGCGTCAGGGGCCATTGTCAGCATGAGAGGGACAGGAGCTGGTGTAGCTTCTAACGGCCCCGCCGGGGAGAGCAGACTACAGGGGGCTCCGCTGCGGGAGCCATTGGAGGGGTGAGCGGATGTCAGGCCCGGACGGGCTGTGAGAGCAGAGCCCCTGGGGTTGGCCGGAGGGTTGGGGGTGGGAGCAGGGTGAGGGCGTGACTCTGTAGGTCCGGGTTTGAACACCTGGCAGGATGGGGGGGCGGGTTCCTGCACGTGTGTCTGTCCCGCCGCCATTCGCTGAGTCCCCGAGAGCCTGGTGGGCGCTGCCAGCTTGCTCATCGTCCCGAGCCCCAGAGAGGGCAAGCGCTTTCCCCAGGACGCACAGCGGGTCAGACTCGTGAATCTGTGCTCTGTGTCTCTGGCACCGAGTACCCCCCCCCCCCCCCCCCCCCCCCCCCCACGCTCACTGGATGGTCCCCCGGTGCCTCCCAACACTGGCCTCCGTCCGGGTCCCTCTGCCCCGGAGCCCAAGGCCAGCAGTGACCCGTCCGCCCCTGAGTTCTCCCAGGGGTCTTTCCGTTCCCTGAGACACGAACACTGCTGGCCCAGATGAGCGCTGAGCACGCGAGTAACTTTCCACGGACAGCTCGGCCTCAGGTCCCCGGTGGCTCCAACTGCATGGAGCCTCCCCTGTCACAAGGGCACAAAAACAGCGACCGCGTCTCTGTGAAAGATTTGGGGCGGGGGAGCCCGTCTTCAGCCCTGAGCGCGGGGCCAGCTGCGCAGCGAGGCTTCTCCCCGTGTGGGGTCTCCACGTTGTCCCGCCATCGGCAGGGGCTGTCCCTGTTTTCATGGCCCGCATGTCACAGGTGGGGGAAGTGAGGCCCAGGGATCCCACAGAGAAGCTGGAATGTGAATCGTGGCCTGCCTCAAGGGCCCGTGTTCTTTCTTGGTTCCCTCTGCGTGGCCTCAACTCGTTCTCTGGAGCCTTTGCCTTCTCCTGAGAACCCATCATGTGCCCGGCCCCAGGCAGGGCGGTGCCGGGACCCAGCAGTGCCTGAGACGGCCCCTTCCTGCCCTCACAGGGCTCCCAGCCCAGTGCAGGAGACATCTGCTTTTCATTTTTTTTTTTTTATGTTTATTTTTGAGAGAGCGCAAGCAGGGGAGGGGCGGGGACGCAGAATCCGAGGCAGGCTCCAGGCTCTGAGCTGTCAGCGCAGAACCCGACGCGGGGCTCGAACTCACAAACTAAGGTCATGACCTGAGCCGAAGTCAGATGCTTAACCGACTGAGCCACCCGGGCACCCCGACATTTGCTTTTAAAACAAATAATCACACAGTGACTTCACTACTGTTGGGGAAAACTCAACACGGAAAAAGTTCAGGTTGCCACAAAAGCTTGTAACTACCACTCCCCCCTACACACGTACACACTCCGTTTCACCTAAAGTGACCGGAACAGCTTCTCTGAGGCCTACGGAGCACAGAGCGTGGGGAGCAGACTGGCTGGGGCCGAGAACTGCGTTCCTTCCGGGTGCTGCCCTTACCTGCCCATCTGCTCTGGGGTGTCTGCCCTTCCTGCCCCATGGGGGACTTGGCCAAGGACTCCTGGTGTGTGTGGGTCCCAGGCAAGCAGGGGAAAGGCGGGGGCAGGGCGAGTCAGCCCAAGCCTTCCTCCTGCCCCATCTGTCCCTGGCTCCCTGCCCAGCAGGTTGGGGAGGCAAAACTGGAGGCCTGACTCTTGCCCAGGTTGGCCTGGCTCTGCCCATTGGCCAAGGCCACCTCTTTGCTCACAGGTCTAACTCCGTTTCTTTCCTTCTCGTGGGGTTTTGGACTCCCGAGACCCTTCCGGCCACTCCAGACACTGCAGAATGGCCCCTGGTTGAGAACCACTCATTCTGGCGAAGGCCCTGCCTCGGGGCACCCGGTGCCTTAGGGGAACTGGGTCTGGATGCAAGTGGGAGGCACAGGCTGAGTTTGGGAGACAGAGATGGGGGAAGGGGTGAAGCCGGTGAAGATCTGCAAGCCGGGCAGCCCCGGGACGAAGCGGCCCAGGGAATGTGCTTGGGGAGCAGAGAGAATGGGGCGAAGTATGGAAACTAGCCAGGATCCGTTGGAGCGAGACGAGCAGTGGAGACCGTGTTCTGACCATAGTTCTCAGCGTATACCTGCCAACTGCAGGCATGGGCCAAGGTGAAAGCAGGGAGGCCAGGACAGGGCGACTGCCATGGTCCTCTGGTGACCGTGACTCTGATCAGGGAGTGTGCTGGAGAGAAGTAACCTGCTCCAGGAAACACTTAGGTGCGAGTATGTAGTTGGCCAGACTCATCAGGGGCAGTGCGGGCAGGAAGGACAGCGTGTGTGTGGTCCTGAGGAAAGAGTGAGCTCTACGTATTCATTTGCTAGAGGGGCGTAGCTGACTGTGTCACGGGAAGAGGAAGGGGCCCGATTTTGAAGCTGGGGCTCAGCCATGCAGGGCCCTGCAGCCTGCTCTCCTGGGCACTGGGGAGCCATGGCAAGTTCTGAGCAAGGGGGAGAACAGGTTTAGGTGTGTGCGTGAACAAGGTCCCTCTGTGCTGCCCATGAAGTTGCTTGGAGAGGGTGAGACTGGGACCAGCAGAGCAGGGGGCGGGTGGGCAGGGAGATCGAGGGGATGTTGGGGGTCCCCCAGCCCCGAGTCTCGGTAGGTGCCAGAGCTGAGAGGCCAGAGACCCTTGAGTTTAAGTGCCAATCTCTCTGTGACCACAGACTGTTACTTTTCCCCTGTGGGCCATAGTTTGCCCCTCCTTGAATGGGGGGACAAGCCTGGCTGGAGGGGTGCCCCAAGTCTCCTACTCTGGGGGGGGGAAGGAATGCGCACTGAGGCTCACAAAAGCCCATGGGGGCCAGCTCGGCCCACCCTGGACCCCAGAAGACACAGCCCCAGAGCCGTGGCCATGAACCGTCAGCCTCCCTAGACCCAGTGGTTTTCTTGGTCTGGGAAGCCTCTCCGTGCCTCCTGCCCCTCACTCTGCTCTCCGCTCTCCCCGTGTCCCTCTGCCTCCGGCCTTCCCCTTTTCTCCGTCCTCTTCCTCACTGGGCCATCCTCTCAGCCTGTCTGTGTCTGCCCATTCTCCCCCCCCCCCCCCAGGGAATCTTCCATTCCCTCTCCCTCCCTCCCTCTCTGACCCCGTTTCCATGTCTCCGACTCCGACTCCGTGTATGTCCGTGTAGTCCGTGTACGTGCCCTGTTTTCTGTGTCACCGGCCCTCCCCCTGCTTCTTCTGTTTACCTGGTTTGCAGTGTCTACTCTCCCAGGCGCCAGTCCTCTGGCTCCGAGAATTTCCGCCCACCAGGGGGCGGTCGCCTGCTGGCCAGCGCCCAATAGGGGTCTCAGGGCTGTCCCTACAGCCAGGGAGCAGAGGAAACCAGTCCCAGCAATCACCAAGCGCGGGTCACGCTGCCCTGCGCCTCATTCGCTCCTCTAGGCCACAGCGTAACCTCGAGAGACAGTCCCGTTCACAGAGAGGTGATGCCAGTGGCCCGCCATTGACTCTGCCAGCGGGTGGTGGGGCTGGGATTTGAACCCAGGCTGTCTGGCCCCCAGAGGTGTGCTCTTACCAGCCCTACCCCCCTGCCTCTCCCACCAGCATAGCGGTTCGGGACGCAGGCCTGGGAGGAAGAGGAGCCCAGATCCTGCCCCTCACGTACCTTGTGACCACGGATCAGTGACTTCCTTCCTTAGCCTCCGCGGACTCCTCTGTAAATAGAGTGGCAGGTGAACGCCAGCCTCGTGGGGCGGTACAGACCTGATGAGGTCCCACGGGGCGCGGGCGGCCTGAGGGCAGGCCCTGCGCCTCCAGCAGGGGCGAACCTGGAGAGCTCCCTGGAGTGGGAGTCCGGCCTGGCACCTCGGCTGGGCGGAAGCCGACCACCGAGCCCAGGTGACCCCTCCCCCATCTCACCCGCAGGTATCCTCGTGGCCCACTACCTGCAGAGCATCACGCCGTGTCTGGCCCTGGGTGGAGAGCTGGTCTACCACCGGCGGCCCGGGGAGGAAGGCACGGTCATGTCTCTAGCTGGGAAATACACACGTGAGCCTGGGGCCTGAGGGCAGGGGTCAGGGCCGGGGGCCAGGGGCCCGGGTCTGAGGGAGGAGAGAGGAGACGGGCCTGCCTTCCAAGCCCCCTTGGTGGTCCGCCCCACCCTCCACCCTGCTGTCTTACAGTGAACAACTGGTTGGCGACAGTGACGTTGGGCCAGGCGGGCATGCACGCGACGTACTACCACAAAGCCAGCGACCAGGTGAGCTGGTCCAGGGACCGGCTGCGAGGGCGCACTTTGCAGGCGCGGGCTGCCAGGGGCCCGTGTGCCCGGGAGTCCGGCCCGGGAGGCTGACTGTCTGCGTGTTGCCCTGGCCCCTCCAGCTGCAGGTGGGCGTGGAGTTCGAGGCCAGCACAAGGATGCAGGACACCAGTGTCTCCTTCGGGTACCAGCTGGACCTGCCCAAGGCCAACCTCCTCTTCAAAGGTACGGGCCTCAGTTTCCATACTTGGAAAACAGGTGACAGGTGACTGGGCCCGGGGCGGGTGTGTAGGCCAAAAGAGTTGGTGGAGGGCAGTGTGCTGGCACTTTGGGGAGGGGGCGGGGGAGGGCGCCTCCAAATTCCCTGGAGACTCTTGTTAAGCTGGTGGAGACCTGAGCTTGGCACTCCTGGTCCTCTTCTTTGTTTTCTCACAAGCGGGAGGCGACTCGGAGTGCATCGGGGCCACCCCGCTCCTCTGACGTGAGTGGGGACAGGTTCCCTCAGGTGCACGGTCACAGCCCCGTCCAGAGCCTCCTCCCGGGCTGACTCTGATCCTGACGCTAAGTCTTGAGTCTTTCCCTTCGGACCTCAGTGGTTCTCAGGTTGGCGGTATGTGAAGACCACCCCGCAAAGCCGCTGCCTTCAGCCCCGGGCAGGGCTTTTCCGAGGCCCAGGGGTTTATTTGCCTCTGAAGCCTACCTTCTGTGCCTGCCCCTTGACCCCTCTCTCCGCAGTCAGCCTGCTCTCTGAGGCCGGGCTTGCGTTCCCACTGCACTGCCCTCCGCTCCTGTGAGATGAGCGACTGGCCCTTCGCACGGTGTAGGGATAGCCTCACACGCTTGCACACGCGTAGGGCTCAGTCTCTCGTTCAGATTTGAGCAGCTGCTCTGAGGCCAGCCTTTGTGCCAGGGTGCTGGGGACAGAGCGGTGGCCGGGCACCGTCCTCCCAAGGCTCACGGTTGGGGGTGGGGCAGAGGGCTGCCCGGAGTGGCAGGGGGAGCGTGGGGGAGGACGACTAAGCCAATTGTTCCTGGCCTTGGAGAACTTGGGGTTCGAGAAGAGGTCTCCGGGTGGTGGGAACAGTGTGGGCAGAGATCTAGAAGCCGACAGTCCGGCTGGTGGTATCTGAGGTGGCCTGGAGCGCGACTCTTTGGGGACAGGATGGGAAGTTGGCTCTCAACCCAGCCGTCTACCTGCAGGCTCCATGGACAGCAACTGGATTGTGGGCGCCACACTGGAGAAGAAGCTCCCGCCCCTGCCCCTGACGTTGGCCCTCGGGGCCTTCCTGAATCACCGAAAGAACAAGTTCCAGTGCGGCTTTGGCCTCACCATCGGCTGAGCCCCTGCTGGCCCCCCCGCCTTCCACCCTTCCTCCTTCAGATCCCACCTCCCCCTCCCCCTGCCACGGAGGGGAGACCTGAGCCCTCCTCCCCCTCCCTTCCCTCCCTCCTCGGGGGCCAGGGGGGCAGCGGAAAGGAGGGGACCCATCACCCCAGCAGCTGAGGGGGGATTCTAGAACCACGGGCGCTTCAGGATTCGGAGCACCAGAGGCAGGGTGCCCATGGGCCTGGGGTCCCGGGAGGGATTCCAGAATCGAGGGGCACGCCAGATTCTGAGCACCAGGGGCAGAGGTGGCCAGACAACCTCAGGGAGGTGTTGGGGCGTCCCAGTCCCCCGAAGGGCCCTGGGCCCGGCCCTGAGGGGGCAGCGAGAAGAGGAGCTTCCCCATCCCCTGTCAGTCTGCCCCCGCCCACTTCCCCACCCATCCCTCAGTATAAATCATGTTTATAAGTTATGGAAGAACCGGGACATTTTACAGAAAAAAAAAAAAAAGCTAAAAAAAAAAAAAACAAAAAAAAAGGGGAATGGGGGCCCTTTTTTTTCTCCGTGTAGCCCCTTTTGCCCGGTCCGCCCAGACGGACCTTACAGTGGCCAGCAGGGGGCGCCGCGGGGCGGAGGCTGGAAGCCAGCGGACGGCGAGGGAGCCCCCGCCTGGCCTGAGATCACACATCCTCCCCGTGACTTGTGTGACTTCTGCCGGCACATCACAGGCCTTCCCTCGCCGGGAGGGCTCGCTCTTGTGGTCACTCACCCCGGCTTGGCCTGGCCGGAGTGGCCACAGAAGACTGTGCCTGCCAGCTGAAGCCACAGGGACGATGTGTCCGTGCAGGGATTGGGGCACAAGCTGGGACTCCGCAGGCCCTTCAGCTTCCGAAAGGGGCAGAGGATGGTCGGAAGGTCAGCGCTTTCAGAAGCCACGCCAGGATTCCAGCACCTCGAGACGCTTGAGAAGCAATCAGTTGTGCCTGAGGGGATGAAGGGCTTCTGGGCCTCGGGAGAGAGGCCGGAGTCTGGCTCTGGCCTGGGCAGAGTCGTCTCCAGGTCTCCAGCATAGGTGGGGAGGAGGTGAGGTGTCCGTTTAATTACCCAGGTCTCCAGTAAACTCCCACCCCACACCTCTCCAGACGGGAACTGAAACCCGCCACACCACACACGGGCTTTGGGGAGGGAGACGGTTGAGCAGAGATGACCCCTCGTTACCCAGAGAAGCCACCCACTAGTTCCCTGCCGGCGCCTTCTGAGGCCAAAGCAAACAGGCCTGAGCCCGGCTGGCACTGGGGTCACCTTCCTGGGACCGGGCTTTTGGCCTCCCCTGACCTCCTAGAACCCCGTGTTCCACACACCCTCCAGGGACCGGGAGGGAACTCCAGCCCCTTTACCGTGTGGCTTCATCCACGTCCACTCAGCTTGGGGTTCTCTGTGAAACAGGATTGAAGAACAGGCTGCTGGGAAGGTGGCCGAGCTCGCTGTGGGTCACCGCGACGAGCCCTGCTGTGTACCAGGAACTCTCCGTATTTCATGCATGCCGTGGCTTGTTGCATCAACAAATGACGGCGTGGGTGCAACTATTTCCCCTGGTTTTGTGGACCAAGAAGTAGGATGTTCAGAGAGGCTAGATCATTGGGCCAAGGTCAGACAGCTGGTAGCAGAGCGCGGGTTGAAGCCCAGGCCTTTTAGTTCCAGAGTCTGCGGTCCTAACCGGCAGCACAAATTCTTCCAGGAGCGAGTAGAGCGGGTGTAGGCGCTCCTGGGATCTACGAAGTTCGCGTCAGGGAGAAGGGCTGGATATTCATTCTGCACACGGAGAAGGGGGCTCAGAGAAGTGCCCATCTGTGCCCCAGATCACAAAGAAGGAGCTGAGATTAAAACCCGGGTTTCCCCTCTAAGAGCCTAGGCCTTTAGCAGATGCATTACCCTGCCCCACCCCTCTCATCCCATCTCTGTCCAGCCCCCTCCCCTCAGAGCCCAGGAATCCAAGGCCCCAGTCTTTTCCCTGACCCAGGATTTCCGCCCCGACCCCCCTCCCCAAATGTTATTCATCCATCCACAGAAGGAGACAAGGGCAGGGGGTGGGTGCTCCGGGAAGATGCTGCTCTTTCCCCTTTCGTGCCTAGCCCCCCAGAATGGAGGAGGGTGCTTGAGTTACTGGGTAAGATGTCACCTCGCTTCTCGGGGGCTGGGCGTCACAGAGCTTCCAACCCCCACCTCCTTCCCCCTGCCGGCTGTGTGAAGGGGGCGGGCGGGGGGGGGGGGGGGAAGAACAGCCCACCTCGTGACTGGGGGCTGGCCCAGCCGCCCTGGCCCTGGAGGAGTGGGCGGGGCAGGGGGAGCCTTATAATTGGACGAGTCTGGGATCCCTGAGTCCTAGTCAGCCCCAGCGGAGGCAAAGGAGGAGGTTCCCCGGGAGCCGGTGAGAAACAGTTGAGGGACCAGCTCAAGGCTTCTGTGAGGGATGGGCGGGGGCTAGGTGACTGTCCTACGCCAGGGTCAGGACCGAAGCAGGGGACGGATCGAGGGGAGGAGCGGGCCCCAGGGGCATTCCGTCTTGGCTGGAAGGTGGGGGGTGGGGGTGGGGGGAGCTGGACCTGTAGGAAGACCCAGATGAGACCTATCAGGAGCCCACGAATTGTCACTGTCATCTGTTGAGCACCTACTCAGTGCCGCCTCAGATCTCCATTAGTTGGAGGAGCAGGGGTGGGGGTGAGGGCGGGGCGGGAGGCAGGGGTGGCGGTCAGGTAGCTAGAGCGCTCATCGGAGGACTTTCAAGTGAGCATTAAATTAGCTAATAGGTGGGAAATGACGTTTAGATGTGAAGTTGGAGCTTAGAATGTGAAGGCAGGACGAGGAATGCGAAGTTGGAACTTACAAACCAGAGTTGGGGCTCACGTGGAACTCGGGGCAGGGTGACTGGAATTTGAACCCCGGGAGAGAGGGATGGAATTTGGGCGGCAGAGGCCGACCTGGGGACGGGGAGATAGGAAGAGACAATGAGGGAGCCAAATAGACAATGGCGGGGCCGCTTGGTAAATGTTTGTGGTCGGATTAGGCTGATGCAGATACGGGGCGGGGCGACGGCGAGACTTGGAAGGCCCGGAACGGGTGGGGCGGGGCTCTGGGTGGGAGGGGTCCCCACTGGCTGCTGATTGACATTTCTCACCCATACTGACCAATCGCAGGCTGGAAGATGAAGGTTCTGTGGGCGGCGCTGCTGGTCGCGCTCCTGGCAGGTATGGGGGCGGGGCCTGCTCAGGGTTCCCCGCCTCCTTCCCCTCCCATCCTCACGTGCACCCCCCCCCCCACCTTGCCCTCCTTCCATCCCTGGGTCCCTCCTTCTGCGGGTCTGTCTCCCCCTTGAGGGGAGGCCTCTCACATCCGCTGGCTCTGTGGACCTGTCTTCCTCTCTCTGGGCCTCGGTTTCCCCGTCCTTCAAATGGGAGTTCTAACAGTTCCTAACGCGTTGTTGTCAAGGTAGCAAGCACCAGATTAGTGTCAGCCGTGACTAGTTTTATTCCCCATCACCACCACACGGCCCCGCGTGGAGCAGGCGTAGACACACATACGCTTGCCAGCCGGTCAAACGCACCGGGCATCCTTCCACGGGCTCCCAGTGCCCCGTAAAGCAGCCCCGCGTTCGTGGAGCACCTACTGGGTACCAGGTGCCGCGTGCCTGGAGGGGGCAGAGCAGCCTGACTGCCCGTGAACTTGCTCTGCGCAGGATGTTGGGCCGATGTGGAGCCGGAGCCGCAGCTGGAGCGGGAGCTGGAGCCGGAGGCCCCGTGGCAGGCCAGCCAGCCCTGGGAGCAGGCGCTGGGCCGCTTCCGGGATTACCTGCGCTGGGTGCAGACGCTGTCTGACCAGGTGCAGGAGGAGGTGCTCAACACCCAGGTCACCCAGGAACTGACGTGAGTGCCCCTGACGCTCCTGGTGGGCCGTTCCTTCTGGGCCCCCCCGCCCCCCCCCCCCCCCTCCACCCCGGTCCGGGACTCTTTTGTGTCCCTGTCGCCAACTCTTCGGCGTCCCTGCTCACATCTTGCTTCCTCTTTCCGCTCGGGGCTCCTGGCGGTCTCTGGCTCTCTGTCCTTCTCAGCTCCTCCCGCCTCTGGCCGCCCCTCCGTCAGGCTAGCTCAGTCTCTCGCACCGCCTCCCTCTCCATCTCCGCTCCTGTGTGTCTCTGTCCCCATCTTGGCCCCCCCCCCCCCACACACACACCTCGGTTTTCCTCCCTCCCCACGCACACGCTCCCGCCCTCTCGGCCCCCCAGGGTGCTGATGGAGGAGACCATGAAGGAGGTGAAGGCCTACAGGGAGGAGCTGGAGGAGCAGCTGGGCCCCATGGCCTCGGAGACACAGGCCCGCGTGGCCAAGGAGCTGCAGGCGGCGCAGGCCCGGCTGGGCTCGGACATGGAGGACGTGCGCAACCGCCTGGCGCAGTACCGCAGCGAGGTGCAGGCCATGCTGGGCCAGAGCGCCGAGGAGCTGCGGGCGCGCCTCGCCTCGCACCTGCGCAAGCTGCGCAAGCGGCTGCTCCGCGACGCCGAGGACCTGCACAAGCGCCTGGCCGTGTACCGCGCCGGGGTGCGCGAGGGCGCCGAGCGCAGCGTCAGCTCCATCCGCGAGCGCTTCTGGCCGCTGGTGGAGCAGGCGCGCGCGCGCAACGCCAACGTGGCCGCCGTGGCCGCGCAGCCGCTGCGGGAGCGGGCCGAGGCCTTGGGCCAGCAGCTGCGCGGGCGGCTGGACGAGGTGCGCGAGCAGGTGGAGGAGATGCGGGTCAAGATGGAGGAGCAGGCCGACCAGATGCGCCAGCAGGCCGAGGCCTTCCAGGCCCGCCTCAAGAGCTGGTTCGAGCCCTTGGTGCAAGACATGCAGCGCCAGTGGGCCGGGCTGGTGGAGAAGTTGCAGGCGGCCGTGGGCACCAGCCCCACCACGGCGCCCGTGGAGAAACAGTGAGGGCCCCACTCCTGCCCCCGCGCCCCTGCCCCCCCCCCCCCCCCCCCCCCGACTACAGGAGGCCCTGTCCCTGCCGCCCTCCCGGAAGGCCCCAGCTTAATAAAGATTCACCAAGCTCCACAGCAGCCGCTGGACCTCCGTGTGTCATTTCTCCCGGCTCCCGCCTCCGTTTCTCGCCCCGGCCACCACGCCGCTCTGCCCTGTCCCCTCTGCTCCTGCGTCTGCTTCTTTGTCTCTTCTGATCTCCGTGTTTGCTTCCTTCTGCCCCTTTCAGAGGCTCCCTTTTTCGCTCTGTCTCTGCTCAGCCCCGCTCGCTGTCTCTTCCGTACTTCTCTTTCCCTTCTGACTCTGAGACCTGGTTCTGGAACAGATCCCCTTTCCCCGGGTTAAACCTTGCAGTCCCCTCTGCCAAAGGGGGGATGGGGGGAGAGGGGCAAGAAAAAAAGCCACCTTTCCGAGCCTGGCTTGCTCGGAAGCTTCATAGTACCTGCTTCCTGGAGTTGTGACCTCAAAGGCCCCGGGACCACTGCCATTATGATTGAGCCTTTACTATTATCACTCTCCTTTTTCTTTCTTTCTTTTTTTTTTTAAATATTTATTTTTGAGAGAGAGAGAGCACGTGCACAAGCAGGGGAGGGGCAGAAAGAGAGAGAGGGAGACACAGAATCCGAAGCAGGCTCCAGGCTCTGAGCTGTCAGCCCAGAGCCCCACGCAGGGCTCGAACCCATGAACTGCGATGCGAGATCATGACCTGAGCCGAAGTCAGACGCTCAACCAACTGAGCCACCCAGGTGCCCCTAAGACTTTTTTTTTTTTTAACATTTATTTATTTTTTGAGACAGAGACAGAGCACGAACGGGAGAGGGTCAGAGAGAGAGGGAGACACAGAATCTGAAACAGGCTCCAGGCTCTGAGCTGTCAGCACAGAGCCTGACGCGGGGCTCGAACTCACGGACCGCGAGATCATGACCTGAGCCGAAGTCAGCCGCTCAACCGACTGAGCCACCCAGGTGCCCCAAGATTTTATTTTTAAATAATCCCTAGACCCAGCGCAGGGCTCGAACTCACAAACCATGAAATGACCTGAGCCAAGATCAAGAATCAGACTCTTAATCCACTGTGCCACGCAGGCACCCCTTAACTTTTTTTTTGTTTTAAGTTTATTTATTTATTTTGGGAGAGAGAGAGAGGGAAAGAGACCATCCCGAGCCGGCTCCATGCTGACAGTGCAGACCCCGACGGGGGGGGGAGGGGCTCAATCTCACGATGGTGAGATCATGACCTGAGCCGAAATCAAAGAGTCAGATGCTCAACCTACTGAGCCACCCAGGCGCCCCTGTTGCTCCCCTGTTTCGCCTAATTCTGCCTCCTGCCCTCTCCTGGCCTCCTGGCCTGTCCAGGCTGAGAAGCCTCATTCTTTCTTCTGGCTTCCTGTTTTCCTCCACCTCTATCTTTTATCTCTTCCTCCTCCAGTTTCTTCCCCCCCCTCCTCCTCCCCGCCTGTTTCTTGTTTCTCTTCTCCTTCCATCTGGGGTGTGTCCTCTCCACCATTCTGTTGTACTTGGGCCCCTCGAAGCTGCCCATCCTGCCCACCCTCACGAGGGTCTGCCCCGCCCCGCCGGGTAGAGTCCTGGAGTCCGCGGTGGGGAGCAGGTGGGAGTGGACACTCAGGGCAGTGAGGACTGGAGCCTGGAGCCCCTGCTTCTGGCGTTCTCTCCCCACCCCCTCAATTCCCAGACGAGGGGAGCAGGGTTCCCAGCCCGGGTGACAGGCCAGGACTTGAGCTTGGTAACTCCCGGGCCCAGCCTGCGCTCCTCCGTGTGGCTGGTGCACACTCCTCGCTCCTGGCTTTTGCCAGCTGCCCCCAGCGCCCTTGGGGAGGCAGGCTCTCCTCCCCCCCCCCCCCCCCCCCCAGATGACTCACCCC